GGAGTGACTCACGCAATGGTGCGAATAGTCACGGCCAAGTTTTTTTTGGGTCAAATGAAAGAGCGGCTCGAAAAATGGCGTGCAGAAGTTTTTAAAGATGACAATTGTCTCTAAAGATGATGTCTGTTTTCAATTGAAAAGCGCAATTGTGACAACATTGTCCAGTGGGGTCTAGGAGTCTCCCCTGGTTCAAAACCATCTTTAGAGGCCCTAGCAAGCCATTTCTCGACCCGCTCTTTCATTTGAGCCCAAAAAAACATTCATATCTTGTCTGGCATCGCCGCTACAAACTCGTGCCTACAACTCGGGCCTTCAATTGAAAACCCCCGTTGAAGACCCGAGTTTGTAGCAAAGATGTCAGACAAGATATGAATGTTTTTTTCGGCTCAAATGAAAGAGCGGGTCGAGAAATGGCGTGCTAGGACCTCTAAAGATGGTGTTGAACCAGGGGAGACTCCTAGACGCCAACGTTCTATACATACTCCTAGACCCCATTGTCCTCCTAGACAATGATGTCACAACTCTGCTGTTCAATTGAAAACAGACATCATCTTTAGAGAGATTTGTCATCTTTAAAGACTTCTGCACGCCATTTCTCGACCCGCTCTTTCATTTGAGCCGAAAAAAACATTCATATCTTGTCTGGCATCGCCGCTACAAACTCGTGCCTACAACTCGGGCCTTCAATTGAAAACCCCCGTTGAAGACCCGAGTTTGTAGCAAAGATGTCAGACAAGATATGAATGTTTTTTTCGGCTCAAATGAAAGAGCGGGTCGAGAAATGGCGTGCTAGGACCTCTAAAGATGGTGTTGAACCAGGGGAGACTCCTAGACGCCAACGTTCTATACATACTCCTAGACCCCATTGTCCTCCTAGACAATGATGTCACAACTCTGCTGTTCAATTGAAAACAGACATCATCTTTAGAGAGATTTGTCATCTTTAAAGACTTCTGCACGCCATTTCTCGACCCGCTCTTTCATTTGAGCCGAAAAAAACATTCATATCTTGTCTGGCATCGCCGCTACAAACTCGTGCCTACAACTCGGGCCTTCAATTGAAAACCCCCGTTGAAGACCCGAGTTTGTAGCAAAGATGTCAGACAAGATATGAATGTTTTTTTCGGCTCAAATGAAAGAGCGGGTCGAGAAATGGCGTGCTAGGACCTCTAAAGATGGTGTTGAACCAGGGGAGACTCCTAGACGCCAACGTTCTATACATACTCCTAGACCCCATTGTCCTCCTAGACAATGATGTCACAACTCTGCTGTTCAATTGAAAACAGACATCATCTTTAGAGAGATTTGTCATCTTTAAAGACTTCTGCACGCCATTTCTCGACCCGCTCTTTCATTTGAGCCGAAAAAAACATTCATATCTTGTCTGGCATCGCCGCTACAAACTCGTGCCTACAACTCGGGCCTTCAATTGAAAACCCCCGTTGAAGACCCGAGTTTGTAGCAAAGATGTCAGACAAGATATGAATGTTTTTTTCGGCTCAAATGAAAGAGCGGGTCGAGAAATGGCGTGCTAGGACCTCTAAAGATGGTGTTGAACCAGGGGAGACTCCTAGACGCCAACGTTCTATACATACTCCTAGACCCCATTGTCCTCCTAGACAATGATGTCACAACTCTGCTGTTCAATTGAAAACAGACATCATCTTTAGAGAGATTTGTCATCTTTAAAGACTTCTGCACGCCATTTCTCGACCCGCTCTTTCATTTGAGCCGAAAAAAACATTCATATCTTGTCTGGCATCGCCGCTACAAACTCGTGCCTACAACTCGGGCCTTCAATTGAAAACCCCCGTTGAAGACCCGAGTTTGTAGCAAAGATGTCAGACAAGATATGAATGTTTTTTTCGGCTCAAATGAAAGAGCGGGTCGAGAAATGGCGTGCTAGGACCTCTAAAGATGGTGTTGAACCAGGGGAGACTCCTAGACGCCAACGTTCTATACATACTCCTAGACCCCATTGTCCTCCTAGACAATGATGTCACAACTCTGCTGTTCAATTGAAAACAGACATCATCTTTAGAGAGATTTGTCATCTTTAAAGACTTCTGCACGCCATTTCTCGACCCGCTCTTTCATTTGAGCCGAAAAAAACATTCATATCTTGTCTGACATCTCTGCTACAAACTCTGGTCATCAACTCTGGTTTTCAGTTGAAATTGGAATTGTTAATTTACACAATAATAGGAGTGCATTGACGATTTTTTCTTAACTCGCAAAAATCTTCAAACAATTTTCTACCGATTGGTGATAAAAATTTTTGGGAATAATGAAGTAGGGAGGATAACGCCTTTTTTTTCAGGGGAGATTTTTCAAAAATTTATTTACAAAAAAGCCCTAACTAGCAAATGTTTTTTATTAGCTCGCAATTTTTTTCAAAACTACT